AGGTCAGGAGATCGAGACCATCCTGGCTAACATGGTGAAACCCCGTCTCTACTAAAAATACAAAAAATTAGCCAGGCGTGGTGGTGGGTACCTGTAGTCCCAGCTACTCGGGAGGCTGAGGCAGGAGAATGGCGTGAACCTGGAAGGTGGAACTTGCAGTGAGCCGAAATCACGCCACTGCACTCCAGCCTGGGCGACAGAGCGAGACTCCGTCTCACACACACACAAAAAAATTCTAATTTCTCCCAAGTCTCATTCTTTAAAAGTATTTGCAGCTCAAATCAGTCTCACCAATGTGACTTTGTTATTAGGAAACAGCTTATGTTGGGAGGCAGGACTCCTTGGTTGGCTAAAATACACTCAGAGCTCAGTTCTAGCGAAAGCGAGGACAAGATCTACAGCTGCTCTTGATGCATTACCAGCCAATTACAAATGAAAGCTGATAGAAAGGATTTCTTTTGGTGTAAACTCATTATTTATTCTATTTTCTACCATTAAGAAAATAGAGGCTCGTAAAAACTAATAATGGGGCATTAATCTTCCTTTTGAAGTGGCAAAGTGCAAAACCTAGGTACCTTATTAATTCTTCGAGGTTAATTGGTGTGTCCACTGAAATTTGTCTCTCTTGAAAGATCAAAAATATTCTAATTAGCTTAACTGTCTGCCAGTTATCATAAAAATCTTGTGTTGAATGAAGCAGTATCATAAAATCGGGCCTGGTTTTGGAAGGAGATCTCTGGGAGAAAACTCTTTTGGGGCCTGGGTCGAGGCGTCCTTCCCATCAACCAGCCTTTACTCCCCACCCCAAGAAAATAATACTATGCAATGACACAGCCTGTCCCATAAAGCACTTAAAGCCTGTAGGCCTTAGACGATACAAAGACAGCAGACATAGGTTAATTTTTAAAAGTATTTTAAACATAGTGATCATTGTTATATTTGAAATATAAGCCAGAGATTATCCTTTTTAAAACATTTTAAAACTTTTTTGTAACAGGCTTTTTCAGAGCAGTTTTAGGTTCACAGCAAAATTGAGCGAAGGGTACTGAGAGTTCTCATCTATCTCTGGCCCCCTAGAGGCGCAGCTCTCCCCATTATCATTATCCCCCACCAGTGGCGCATTTGTGACAACTGATAAACTTACACTGAAACATCGTTATCACCCAAATTCCATAATTTACATTACGGTTCACTCTTGCTGTTGTACATTCCATCGGTTTGGACAAGTATTTAATGACACACATCCATCATTATACTGTTTTTCCACTGCTCTAAAAATTCTCTGTGCTCAGCCCGTTCATCTCTCCCTCCCCCTACCCCTGACACCACTGATCTTTTCAGTGTTTCCCTAGCTTTGCCTTTTCCAGAAAGCCATATAGTTGGAATCATACAGCACGTGGCCTTTTCGGATTAGCTTCTTGCACTTAGTAATATCGGTTTAATGTTCCTCTATGTATTTTCATTGCTTGATAGCTCATTTCTTTTTAGCACTGAATAATATAGTCCATGGTCTGATGTACCAGTTTATTTATCCATTCGCCCACTCGAAAACATCTTGATTGCTCCCAAGTTTTGGCAATTACGAATAAAGCTGCTACAAGCATCTGCATACAGGTTTGTGTGTGGACATAGTTTTCAACTCATTTGGGTAAAAACCAAAGAGGAGTAAGACAGTTCAATCACATGGTAAGAGTATGTTTGGTTTTGTAAGAAACTGACAAACTGCCTTCCAAAGTGACTGTACCATTTTCACTCCCACCAGCAATGAAGGAGAATTCCTGTTGTTCCACATCCTTGCCAGCCTTTGGTGGTGTCAGTGTTCTGGATTTTGGCCGTTCTGATATGTGTGTAGTGCTATCTCACTGCTGAGATTACCTTTTGGTGTGATGTTCTACTCACATCAATGTGGGGACCGAGGAGTTTTTTTTTCTAGGTAGCCCTAGCTCCCCAATGCATAGTAATTTCTTCTGTGATCAGAAAAGAACTCATTCAACAAGAAATCAAGACCATACTCAGCTGGCCCCTAACGGGGGAAACCTGTTGATCCTCTCTCCAGAGTGACCTACGGCAGTGGTTTCTAATCTTGACCACGTATTGGAAACACCCAGGAGGCTTCAAAAGCTGGAATCTTGGGTCTCATCGCTAACAGTTTTGACTTTTTGGGCTGGGATGTGGCCTAGGCACTGGGATATTTATTCCATAACTCAGCAGGTATTTCTGATATGCAGCTGAGAAGGCAAAACACTGGCTGAAAAATGGCAGATCATACTATTGGCCTGTGCTGCTAAGACCTGCTGTTGAAAGGGTCGTCTTCCTTGGATTCTACAAGACTTGACTTAGATTCCTGAGGACCCAAGGCTCTTGGGGTGACTTTACCTTTTGCCCTCAGCTGGCTCTGATGCCCATCTGCAGTTGTAAAAATTACTGCCTTTAACTCCCCATGGTGACTGGAGGTTTTTTTCTTTGATTTGCTGCTGGTCTTGGGAGGCCTAGAGGGAGGTCGCTTTTATTCACACTCAGAGTCTGGCTTCCACGTAACATGTGCTCATGTAAAGGGCAGACACATCTGCTTCTGGCTCTATCCTGAGAATGAAGACAGCCCTTAATCTGAACACTTTAGGCTTCAAATAGTTTTCTGGTCCATCAACCGTAGTGGGTAAAGCCTGAGCTGCGCCCTCTCCCTTCCCCAAAGGGAAAGATTTTGCCTGTGGCAAATAGGGGAGCCGAGCACATCCTACGAGATGTCTAGGGGAGGGCTGGTGTATGACAAAGGCCTGGAAGCTTCCTTAGCCTAGGCCACCAGTTTTTAGATTACAAAGTAAATTGCAGTTGACCTGGATGCATACACAGGGGTAACAGCATAGGATGTGTACTTACTTGCAAATGGCAAGCAGACATTCTTCTATAGTGTCCCTTTGTGCTTTGGTGAGGGAACGTCCCTTGGAAAGCCTGTATATCGTCTGCAGTGTGGAATCAATCAGAGAGGTGCAGTGGTCTGTTCCGGCAAAGAGAGGAGCACATCTTGTGAGGAGCGGGAGCACAGCAGAACATATATACCTATTTAGTGCAAGCGCAGCCTCTGTGGTGCTCAGGGAAACCTAGGGAAAGAAGATTGAGACACAAGTTAATCACCCTGAGGAACAGGGCAAAGCTGGCTCTGCACTGAGGTCCCATGTAGCAAGCTGTGGGAGCTTATACATGTCCACATTGCACAGCAAGGCAGTGAACAACTTTCTACCTTATTAGCAGTTCTATTTTTCTTTTTGCATTTTCAATGAAAAAAAAAATCAAGTTAAAAGAAAACAAACAAACAAAAAATCAGAAAAAAATAGTAACAAAGGCTAGCTGGCTCTAAGTCTCCCCAAATGATCCTATAAATATCTGTTCCCTTCAAAATAATTTTGAACTCATTAAAATCAGCTGATGACCAGTCTAACCCAACATTTTGATGCTTGCAAAGTCTAATTGCCAGGATACTACATTATTATTCTGGTTTTCGCTCTTTTCTCACCTACCAGGGACTCACACACTGTTATCTTACGACTGTAAGATTAGTGAATGGTTATAGGTCAAGCAGTTTCTCAAATTCACCAGTTCTGTGAAAGAGAAAGTGGAACTCTGACTCCTTTCAGTTAATTGGTGAGCACTGTGAGCAATTCACAATCAATACTGACATGAGAGTAGACCCCACTAAAGGGAACCTAACTCTGCATGGGCAACGTGGAAAAGGAACAGAAAGTCGGGTCCTTCTACACAACTCTAACATAACTCTTGCTCACGATGTTCTTTTATGTACATTTAGATGGACGAGTTGAATACAAGGAAAACCCATTTAGTGACACTAAATAACCAAAGTACACTTCACCACCATCTTTGAAAGTTGTAGAACTTCAAAAGAAACTTGGAGATCCACAGAGATGAAACAGTACCATTTCCTGTGATTACTGCAGTCATTCTAGCTGTAACACACTTTGTATAACTTATGATTTGAAAAACCATTTTCTTTGAATGATATACATTTCTCATTGTTTCTATAAATTATCTAAATTATCAAGTTTGTCTCCTAGAAACTTCAGTAATCATGCTGGGAGAAACAGCTAATCTTCCACATTTATCACTTTAATATACAGAGTTAAAATGAGAAAGGACAGAGCTTTGATTTCAGTAGATTATACGTTTTCAAAAGAGAATGCATGAATGTCTATGTGTTAATGAACTGAATATAACACCTTTTTGTCGTAGATGGTGTTTGGACAAACACGTGATTGAACACCAGATACCAGAATAGCATTTGCTGTTTATCATTAAATTATTTGATCAGGAAGCCTGGGTAGATCCCATGAGTTGAGAAAATTATTTTTAAAATCAAATAATTTATAGAAAAGTTCAAAACAACAGCAGTGGCAGAAGCACTGTTTTAGTTATTTAAAAATAATTATTCATAATTACTCATTATGAATAAAGAATTATGCACTGTTTTATTATATCAAAACGTTGGGTGAGACTGGGTTATTCAGTATTAGGGATCGTATACTCTAATACTGTCATATACCATTTATCATCTCCCTACCACACATGGGCATGCAGCTCCCACTCAGGTTGGGGCTCGTATGTATTTCCATATCTGGATAACCCGTGCAGGTGGAATCCATCCAAGTCAAGGTATTTGCCGCTGACAACCCATCACAGAGCTCAGATTTCTATCTCTGTTGGACACTAGGTGGAGCCTTTGAGAAACCTTCTAACTGAAAACAACCCTAAACTGGCAAGATGATTTTTAGACTTACACTGATCTAGTTTGTCTTTTCTCCTTGGACCTAGGACTCCTGGTGTACCTTTTTCTGCTTAGTTCTGTCTTGTGGCATCTTGTATCTGAGTTTTGTAACTCTAAGGGCCTCCTCTCTTGATGTTTGTTGATGGTGAACTACCTTATCTATCTCACCCTTGATTTCCAAACTTATATCTGCCTTTGTCCTCATGTACTGACCTTCGTCATACCCCTCACTTCAGACCTATCCATCCTGGTGGTCAGTATATGAAATTATGAAGTGAGAGGAGGAAGAATAATGTCAGCCTATAATGTTGCCAGTCAGCCTTTTTCAAAGGCAATAGAGACATGGTCTCACCAGGGGGTGCTTTTGTCCTCCCAGGGGACATCTGGTGATACCTGAAATTGATTTTGGCAGGGATTCGGGGTGAACTGGGGTGCTACTGATACACAGCGGGTAGAGGCCATGGATGTTGCTAAATGTTCTAAAATGCACAGGGTAACAGGATAACCCCTTACAACTTACCGTCAAGGTTAAAAAAACCGCAATTGAGGGAGTTGGATTTGGGGTCAAATTTACCTATATCTAAGTCTCTGGCTCAATAAATTACCATCTTCCATTTCATGATACTATTTTCTCACCCATTAAAGTAAGCTATTAAAATGTAATTGGTGAGTAAATAGAAAATATTTGCTTCTAAGTCCAACATTACTAATTTTGCAGTGATGGGAACAATAATTTTTGTTATTTTTGCAACTTACTGTATCTAGAGAGGCAGAAGCTCTCAGGTCAGGTAAAAATCCAACCTCCAGCAAGTGGAGCAGAAAAGTTTGATCCTTAATGCCATAGACGCGGTCCAAGAACAGCACCATGGGTGCCTTGTGGTCAGGGCAGAAGTTGGCCGCCATATCCGGCTCACTGACCGACCCATCTGAAAGACACACAGAAAATGTAATTTCCCTTTTTCTATCTCCACAGTCTCAAAAGGTAACACAGAGCTTGTCTGTCTACAGCTTGTTCTCCTTATAAGCGACAGGAAGTTTGGAAAAATACAGATTGAGCATCTCCAATCCAAAAATCTGAAACCTGAAACGTACCAATATCTGAAACTTTTTGGGCACCAACATTATGCTCAATGGAGATCCTTCTCAGAGGATTGTGGATTTTCAGATTTGAGATATGCAACTGGTAAGTATAGTGCAAATATTCCAAAATCCAAAAAAAATCCAACGCACTTCTAGTCCCAAGCATTTAGGATAAGGAATACTCAACCTGTACAGTGCTGTGCTGAAGGCAGCTTATACTTCGTTGAAAAGCCAGTTTAAAATTCCAGCCGGTTGTTAAAATGCTCATTATTAAAAATTAAAATTTACAATTAAGTAGATATTTTAAAAAGGTAACAAATACTAGAACTCCTTACTTCCTAATTATTTCACTGTGAACTATACTCTCGAGGTTTTCTGCATCAATCGTATTTGCGTGTTGGAAATACCATCTAATGGTGTGCCATGTCCACTCTCTTCCCAACTCTGTGTTCAGTGACATTACATTGGCAGCTTGAAATCGGCCATGGTGAGAATGCTTACGCTACGGAAATGGGCAAATGCTAGGATCAGGCCTTGATTTATTGCTTTGTTGATTTGAAACATAAGTAAGTGAGGGAGAAAACATTAATGAAGGCAGATTAAGTTTAATATGTCATGTCTGTAGTTATTACATCATAAATTGAACAAACTTCGAGGATATCTTGTTGCAATATTTGGAAATAATCGTCTGATTTAGGTGAAATGTAGATCAGGTCATCCAAGAATTCTAATCTTAATCAAGAGGTTCGAAGGTGAAGTGGGGAAATACTATGAAGAAAATAAAAACTGCTTGAGCTGGAGAGTAAAGACAGGATTTCGAGTGAGGACAGAAAACAATCTTCCTCTTCCCGTTTTGTTTACACTAAAAACTAGGACACAGGACCCCCAAATGAGCACGCTATAGCCACAGCATATTTAAACACTGTGCTGGAAAGGTGTGGGCTTCATAAGGAACCCTGAGAGGCACAAAGATGAAGTCTGAGCCACCCCGGACCCTCGTCCTGCCCAGGCATCAGCGTCAGGCTGCAGAGCCAGAGAGAAGGGGCCTTCCAGACTACAGGCTGCCGCCTCTCCTGCCCCGCGTACCAGGCGGAGCTGGGCCTGAATGGCTGAGACGGACTTCCTCTCACACATGCCTGGTGTGGTGGGATATTAATTAGTGTTTTGTGTTTGGGAAACACTGAGTTCAACATCTAATTTGCTTTATCTTAAGTTTTCTCAGAGACGTTATCGTTTTACTGTGCTTATACCATGTGATGTATTCCACAGCATTTCCTACACTTATTTGACTCCAGGCCCCTTATTAATATGTACACCTATTAGTATCTCCCACAGAAACCTTCTGTGGAATATCAGTCTGGGAAACATGACAGCGGTTAGAATCATACGTTTTCAATTCCTCCATGAGCCTGGATAACGGGTGGGGTGACTCAGAGAAACAACACTTCGGGGCGAGTGTAAGTTTTGCAAAGATAAGACTGACTGATGTCAAATGTCACAGGTAGCATTGGGGGAAAACAGTTTATGATCCTCAGCCATGAGGCGTGCGACTGTGGCTGGACAGGCTGTGTGGAGGCCCATCTGTCTGTGCCCCCACTGCCTACACAAGCTGGGGGAGCCAGGGGAGAAGGAGAAGGGAGGCCGTGGGGAGAGCTTTCGCTTGTCCCATTCTGTCAGCCTCCCTCACCGGGTTGGCATGCTCACAGGAGGACAGCGAGGTCTGTCTGAACCTGTGGGACACAGGGTACAACTGTCTTGACACAGACGAGAGAGCAGACTAAGTCATTACTTCCAAATTATTTCACTATGAACTATACTCTTGAGGTTTTTTGCATCAATTGCATTTGTGTGTCGGGAATACAATCTAATGTGCCATGTCCATCTCTTCCCAACTCTCTGTTCAGTGACATCACATTGGTGGCTTGGAATTGGCCATGGTGAGAAAGTTTATACCGTGGAAATGGGCAAATGCTAGGAATCAGGACTTGATTTATTGTTTTGAGATTGCTTCTGGAGAAGACGAGAGCAGCTGGCTAGAGCCTAGAGGAGAAAACTCATCACAGGAAAAGAGCAAGACACTTGCCCTCTGCAGCCTGCCCTGCGAGTCAGGGCCTGGGAGCCGTTGTGCTGGGGACAGAGTCCTGTCCCGAGCCAGTGGCTGCTGGGAGACTGCCGCTTCAGCCTGCAGTCACTCCCCTTACCTTTGTTAAGGGAGGGCAGTTTCAAGGGGATGCTGATGATCCCAACCAGGTCTTCTGTGGGGACCAGAGAGCGCAGTATGGACCTGATGCGGATGGCCTCCCCCTTTCCCGTCTGGATGAGCTGGAAGATATAGGGTCGAGAATGACATGAGATAAGTGAGGTTCCCACACCTCGCTCCACCCCACCTCCAAACCTCTGGTCGTAAAATGGCTGAAGGGCAGGGGTCCATTTCCATGTTTCCCTAATTGCTACAGACACTCGTGGCTACAGACACTCGTGGCCACAGGGAAAGAGGAGAGCGGTCTCTTGATTTTCCAGAAGAGGTGCTACTGAGGAAATAACTGACTGAAGAGGTTGCTAGATTCCTTTGCTGTTATTAAAGTGGCCATGAGGTGGTGGTATCAGGTCCCAGGAAGAAGTACACGGCCTGCTGGTGGCTTCTCAGTGTGACTGCACTGTCGGAAGCTCTTGGTGGCCATGACAGAAGTGTGGACAGCGTGACCACAATGCCAGACTCTAGAATTCTGTTAAACGTAGAGATGGGTTATGAATTTCAATTTCTAAGAGTTTGATTAATGCTGGGGAAGACGAGTGGGCAAAAAGGGTATAGAGAATGTCAGAGAGAACTAGAGGGGCTCAGGGGCGTTATCCGGGCATGAATAGCCTGATCCACCCTGACACTGATGAACCAACCAGCACGCACAAGGGTGTGCATGCATTTCCCCCCGCACATGCAGTCTCCGGCTGGGTGTAGCAGGCATTCAGCTGGGAACTGAATGTCATAGCTCAGGGTCAGACAGCCCCCAGGTGGGCTGGATGGTATGCTGAGATACGATGCTTGGTGCCACCAGGGAAAGCAGAAGGCCTGCCCACCCACCCTGGTGCCACCTCCATCCCCAAGGGTAGAGAAGAGGTGGCTGGTGATGATGGCATCCTTCCCTCACCACTGAGAGGGCAGGACCCACAGGAGGGGTCCTGAGAAGGGATGTATGCATGCGTATGTGTATGTGCGTGTGTGTAAGGTGTTGGAGCAGAGAGGCAGTAAGGAAGGAAGAAAGGGGCACCCAGATGGGGCTCTAGTGAGCTATCCCATGCCGCCTTCTTGAGAAGAAGCAAACTATAATGTGCTTTCTGATGTGATGAGAGGTGATCAGGAAAGCTAGAGTGTGAACACACAGGGGTTCCTGACCCTCCCCACCCCCGCCAAGACTGTAGAACACTCTAGTGTTTTCTGGGCTCCCTTTCAAGTTTCCTGCATTTGCTTAAAGGCACAGAAGTGGAAAAACAGGCCTACGTGGGTAAGGCTCCTTTATCAAAGCAGGAATTGGAATCCTAGGAATTCAGATCAGCCTCCCATATCAAGATTTAGAGTTGCTTTTCATATGAAAAGCAGCTATTTCCTCTCTTATGATGTCAGACCTTATATGAAATAAGGCTTCTTCTTTCAGCCCTCAGCAGAGGTGAAAAAAAAAAAAGAAAAGAACGTACTTTTTAGTTCAAAACTAGAAGTCTGAGAAGACATCTCATAGAACAGAACCACCCTTTTGTGATGTCTGCAAAGCTCTACCTCTGGGGGAGAAAATCAAACACCAACCACAGGAAGTCTGCCTTCCTGGAGTCTAACGCCACAGTCGTCAGGGACGGGATCTTCCACGTGGAGGGTCCTGTGGCCATGATCCAGAATCAAGTTGCTCCCATTTTGACCAAATTGAGGCATGTCAAAACACGATTCTGGGAGGCTTTTGAAACAAACTGTGCAGGGGACATGCTCAACTAGTACCACAGAGAAATCACACAAGACAGGGATCTGCCCTGGAGTCCCTCCCTAGAAAGCAGCAGAGTCAGGTACCAGAGGTGGAAACTACTTTTGAAACGAGCTAAAAGGGACCTAGAAAAACGCATGTTAGCAAATGCCAGAGACAGAGGAAGAAATGAGGTTCAGGAAATCTATAGTGTTCTTGGCGCAGGTTTCTCAAAGCTGTTCTCTGGAAGCTCTATCACTTACGTGCATTTCAGGAGCACAGCGGCCCAGTAGATCTATAAGGGCCGAATAAAATGACATAATTGCATTGCCCATATGCACGATTTCTTCTTCCTCTTCATCGGCCTCCGTGCTGCTGAGAGAACCAACAGAGGGGAGGTGTGAGGAAGGCTGGCAGGCACTGCCATGCTGGGAGACACAAGTCGCTTGATATGGACGCACCCTGCTCTCCTTTCCCTTGGAGCCTCATCTTCCTCTAGAAGTCCACAAAGTGGTTTCATTCATTAAGCTCGAGGAACCCAAATATCTGTCTACGACATTCACAGGATCCCATGAATCTTAAGGCATGAGTACCGACATGAGCCGATCATCAGACCATAACTCCTACCAACTTTTCAATCCCTTTTCCTCCTTGCGAGGGGAAGATCCAGGGAAAGCACCCTGGACCAGCAGTCAGGAGGGCTCCGTCCCTGTCCTGGCTCTGTTGCTAATAAGCTATATGACCTTGGGCCTCAGTTTTTTTCTCATGTTGCTTGAGGAAGTGGGGAAAGCCTATGTGTAGGGTCCTTTCCAGCTCTCCCAGGTCTGATGACAAAGAAAAATGCCAACCGTCTAAAGAGTTTCTGCTGGGTTATAGCCAATCTCTAGATTCCATGGTCTAATCTAAAGGCTGTGATGAAGAAAGGGACATGATCATGAGACTTGATAAAGGGAAAGTAAGACAATCAGATAATCTACCAACTATATCCTTAACATTTAAATAACATTATAGTGCTGTGACTTTCCACATTCTGCAACTTGCTTTTTCTTTTTTTAAGCAGTCAAATCAAAACACTTTCTTAATTAGTTCTCATGCTTTCAGAAGAAGAAGTGGAGGCACGATCTGGTTTTACAAATGAGGTATGGGATGAGACACTGTGGGACAAAATACTGAAGGAAATATGCTGAAGTTAGACAAGGAGTAGAACCTTGGCCCAGGCCTTTGCCTCCTACCCCATGGTGATGCTACAGGGAGGCTAAGAGTTTGCCCACTTTGTGATTTCCAGCTGCGCTGAGCAGAGTAGAGAAAATGGAAGGGGTGAAGGTGATGCTGATCACTAGGCTTACTAGGAGAGTCAAGACAACACTGGGCTTGATGAAGTGTAAATGTTTTAGCTGTAACTGTGAAGAACATGTGCTTTCTCTATTACCTCCTAAATCATCCATATACCAACAATATCTGAGAGCTCACCAATCGTATCCATGCCGGAAGGCAACTCCTTTCACTTACACTTCTCTTTTGTATCCTTGAGAGGGGAGGTCAAGCGCGGGGTTCTCAGAGATCTTAATGGCTCCCTGCATGGCCGCCAACAGTCCGTTTCCCCCCTCACCCCGCAGGGCCGGGCCAAAGCACTCTGGGCGTCTGATGAGCAGCTTGACCACAACGCTGGCATTTTCTTCCACACTCTCACCTAAGGGAGAAAAGCACTGTTTCCTTCTCAATAGAAAGGACAACCCCAGAATTGATTTCTAGTTGATGAGGCTGGGAGAACAGTATTTTGTTCAGCTTATCACCTACTCTTTTTTTGGTTTAGGTCAGTCCAGTGGGCAGTGGGAGTGGAGAATGAACTAAGGCATCTGTAACTGATTGTGGTCAGTTAGTTATAGACCCCACTCACTGCACTCGAACCAGCCTCATCTACTCTTAAGATTAGGAGTTGACACTGATGGAGAAAAAGGTGGCTTTGATAAATTGGGTCAGGATCTGTTTATTTAAAGTATTAGGATCAACCATTACAGAACAGCTTTTTACTCTTCAGCTCAGGAGTTTGTACTGTAGAGATTATTTCCATATATTTAGGTCCTCGGAGGGCAGTTAATAAACTACTGAGTCTACCCTGGAATACTGATTCATTCACAAGTGACTTAGTGAACAGAAGAACTTTACACCTTTATTACCTCAGCGAGGGCATATGCGAATCTGCTTCCTTCCTTGAAAGGAAGTAAGATGGTTACTCAGTTGGTGTGCTTCAATTAACGATTGGGGAAGTGACATATCAGCTTCTGATTCTGTTACTGATTCTGTATCATACTCTCACAGAGTCTAATACTTACCCTAGGACAGCCAGGTTTGTATGGATAGACTTCAGGTCATTTTTGGAATCATGTATCCAGATGAAGAATCTGCTTGGTCAAGTTTTATTGGTTATTCCTAAACTCGCTCTCTGGGAAGGCAGAGGTTGGAGAATTGTATTCTGTGGCATTTGTTTTTGGATGAACCAGACAACGAAGATAGAGCCTCATTTCCTGATAAAGTGATTAAGGATAGCCATTCTTTTTTTTTTTTTAAATTATACTTTAAGTTCTAGGGTACATGTGCACAATGTATAGGTTTGTTACATATGTATGTCTGTGCCATGTTGGTGTGCTGCACCCATCAACTCATCCTTTACATTAGGTATTTCTCCTAATGCTATCCCTTCCCCAGCCCCCCACACCCCAACAGGCCCCGGTGTGTGATGTTCCCCACCCTGTGTCCAAGTGTTCTCATTGTTAATTCCCACCTATGAGTGAGCACATGCAGTGTTTGGTTTTCTGTCCTTGCGATAGTTTGCTCATGTGTCTGTTGGTTGCATAAATGTCTTCTTTGAGAAGTGTCTGTTCATATCCTTCGCCCACTTTTTGATGGGGTTGATTTTTTCTTGTAAATTTGTTTAAGTTCTTTGTAGATTCTGGATATTAGCCCTTTGTCAAATATTTTATTCTCAATAAAAAAAATACCTCTGTCTCAGATGAAATCCTAATTTGTATCTGAGAATTCATCTCTGAGCCAAGACTCAAGGGCGAGACTTTTTTCATGTCGTGTTAGCTAAAGCCTAAAGAAAAACTTCTCTACAGAATCATAAGAGGCACCTCATTTGTGTCTGAGAATTTATCCCTGAACCCAGTACTCAAAGGCAAGACTTGCTGATGTTATGTATTGCAAGCTTGAAGAAAAACTTTTCTACAGAATCATAGGGTATTTCTTGGAGAACTGAGAGATAACAGAGGTTACAATGTGATATGCTGCTGTATTATTTATTCTTGTGCAAAATATGACCTCAAATATTGGCAGGCTAGAACAATAAATGTTATCTCGCAGTATTTGTATAGGCCGGGGATTTTGAAGTGGCTAAGCTAGGTGGTCCTGCCTTGCAATCTCCCATGAGGTGGCAGCTGCCGTCTTCCGAAAGCCTGTCTGGGACTGGAGCATCAGCTTCCACGTTCACTCACACAGCTGTTGGCAAGAGGCCTCAGTTGCATACTGGATGTTGCGTGGAGGCCTCAGTTGCACACTGGGTGTTGGGTGGAGGCCTCAGTCTCTTATCATGTTGACCTCTCCATAGGGCTGCTTGAGTGTTCTCATGATGTGGCAGCTGGCTTCCCGCAGAGCAAATTATCCAGAAGGACAGTAGAGCAGAAGCCAAGCTGCCTTTAACAACCTGGTCACTTACTGTCACTCTGTTACATCCTATTCATGAGAAGTGAGTCACTAAGTCCAGCTCACATGTAAAGGGAGAATTAGGCTCTGTATTTTGGAGGGAAGAGTATCAAAGAATGTATAGACATATTTTGAAACCATCTTAGCAGTTTAAGTTCTATTTAATAAAACATTTTATAAATCAACTTAGAAGTGTTGGGAGTAAAGCATTTTTTTTTAAAAGACAGGGTCTGGCTCTGTCACCCAGGCTGGAGTGCAGTGGCATGATCTCAGCTCCGTGCAGCCTCACCCTCTAGGGTTCAAATGATCCTCCCATCTGAGCCTCTTGGGTAGCTGAGACTACAGGCACATGCTACCACAACTGGCTAATTGCTGTTGTTGTTGTTGTATTTTTTTGTAAAAACAGGGTTTCACCATGTTGCCCAGGCTGGTCTCAAACTCCTGGACTCAAGCAATCCTCCTGCCTTGGCCTCCCAAAGTGCTGGGATTACAGGCATGAGCCACCACACCCTGGCAGAGCATCTGAATGAGAACCCAGAAAAATCTAACTTCTTGTTCCAGCTTTTTAGCTCATCACTGTGTGAGTACGCACACTGCACAATCTCACTGGGTCTTTCCCCTGTTCAGCTATGCATGCTCCATCTGGTTTTAGAGTGACTCTGTTAGTCTAACTCAGATGCAGAGATTTCTCCCATTATGCTCAGAGGAATGGGGATGGGGTGGGGTGGCAGCTGAGCTTGCTGTCTGAATGCTTGAAATTAACTCAGGCTCACCTTTCAACTAAACTCAATCTTGAACATAGCGAATGTGTCTCACAGCCCTGAAGAGTCTACCTCAGACCACAGGTGTAGTCCTGTCCTAGAGCTTGGCTTGCTGACATCCTCTTTTATCACTCAAGCTTTTGTACTGTGGGCCAAATCCAAGATTGTTAGCATGTACCACTCTAAGTTTTAGAATTGTGTAGCTCCATCCAGAAAAAATTTTATTAAACTGAATTTAAACAGTTAATCAGCTTCCATTCATGGTTTTATAGCTCGATCCTTCAAGTCTAAAATTTTTGTAAAGAACTTTGTCTTCGAGTTCTATCCAATGTATCACACATCAAAAAACAATCGGTTTTTACTAAAGAATCCATGTGAAGAAAATTCTCAGGAGATACTAAAAGGGTAAAATTATCATAATAACGGGATGGTGGAAAGAATCAACATATTCTGGAAAAAAAAAAAACCAAGGAGAAGTTGAGAGACACTGTACAGTTTGTAGAGACCTCAGAGAAGGGTATGATGCTGAGTGCTATGCCCATGCTCTCCTATCAGTTGGGCCTACCATTTATACCTAATATAGTCTACTCACAGGAGGGACACTTACAGAAAAGTACCAGGAGAATCTACATTGTTAAAAGCCAGTGGTTTCAGATATAGATGTATCTCACAGTTCACTACTTTCGAATGGTTTTGGCCTCCAATACTTATCAGGTAGCACATACATCAGCCCTCTCAGTTGTAATTTCTCACTACAAGAATAATAAAGCTAAAACATTGAAATTTTAAATATAAAAAATGGAGGAAAAAAACCCAACTCTGTTAATCAAGCTTATTTAAATACTATACTTAGATTCTTTCAGTTACCTGGTGGAAATGCTTGCCGGTCAGTCACCGATTTTACCAGCACGTTGAATTCAACTTAGCTTTCCCCATAGTGATTGGCATGAAGTTGGTGGGATTTAAAACCACAATATGCAGAAGTTGAAAAATCAGACTGTGAGTTCTACATTGAGCTTTCGATTGAAATTCATTTGCCCAATTAGCCTTATTTTATTCGAGTCTCAGGCCTTCAGAACTGAACTAATTGGGTCTGTTTCTGCAAGTGACCCAGGAAGTCAGCCCTTGATTACTGAATTATGGACATCTGCGAAGAATGTAGAGCACACCCTAAGAGGAAGGAGCTGAAGTATAACCATTGCTGCTAATTAGACACGGGACCAACGCAAAGAATTTCCAAAGGCTTCCCAAGGCAGAGAGGATGGCATGATTAGGAAGGAGAGACAGTCTCTTCCCAATTACCTGTAGCTCAGCAAGCTTGACTGCTAACCAAATCCAGCGTGGTAGAGCTAGATACTGACCTGGAGGGCATTTTTCAAGAGGGAAGAGAGAGACTTGAGGTAAACTAGTTTTGCCCAAGGGCTTGCAACAATGCTTTTTGCTGGAGTTCTAATATGAATAATGAGCTTAATAACAGCATGAATATTCACAGTGCCTTTCTTCAAAGGCTTCAACACTGTCTTCATGTTACTATTTTCTTTTCGATACTCCCGAACAGTTGGATGGAAATGGAAATGAGTCTCCCCGTTTTACCCTGGTAAAACACTCATACTCACCACAGGGACAGTTAGCAGGGATACAATTATTTAATCTTCAGCCCATCACTTTTCTCACTCTCTCTGTTCTGATTCTAGTTTGTTTTAAAGTTCCATTGTCTGGAACACTGTTCTTCCCATTCTTTTGGTGTAAACCCTCAACTTACGTAACTCCATTTCATCCTTCAGGAGGAGCTTAAACATGGAACCCCAGAGGACCTGTTCCTCTCAAATACCCTGTCTTCTTCCTTTGTGCCTGCTTTCCCTGTGAGACTGTGCATGCCATAAGAACAGGACCCTGTGTCTGAATTACCTAACACTGTGTGCTCAAGGGTCTTGCTAACATCTGGCATATCACAGGCATTCAAAGAACATATTTTTTCAATAAGTCAATAGACTTCACTGAGACTCAAGGTAGAGACTTGAAATGACTGGATGGAAAACCAAAGGTGGCTATCTATTGTTGCATTATCCCACGCAATTATCAGCCTCTGTTTACAAGAGCCTGCATCATCTACTACCTCAGATTTCAATTAGTCCTAAAGAAACATAATCAAGTCCCACCTCAGTAAGAGAGAACACAGGGCTCCAGCATGAATGAATGTACTCACACTCATTTAATTAATTTAGAGAAT